AACACGCCTTGCCTGGCTATTTACTTACAAGTTTGAAATAGGAGAGGCTTTTTTAGAAAGATGTGGAGAACCTGGATTGATGTCTGGTCCCTCTCAGTCCCCGAGAACGAACACCATCCCAAAACAAAAACACAAACAAAAGCCTTCCCCCCCCAAGATTTGAAAGTATCTTGTCCCCTTATTGGTCCTTTAGGTCAGATGCCAGCCAGGTACCTGAGCTTCTTAACCCTTTACAGGGAAAAGGATTTTGGAGTCTCTGGCCAGGAGGGATTTTATAATACTGTACACAGGACAGCTATTACCCTTCCCTTTATAGTTATGACAGGAACCATTTCTCTCCCCCCCAACACTCACCTCTGCCTCCTTCCCCTTCTCCAAAGAAGCTTGCCTGGGAGGGAGGGGTAGGAGGGTAAATGTGGCACACCTGGGGGAGGAGGCAGGGCCGGGGATTTGGGGAAGGGGTTGGAATGGGGCGGTGTTGGGGCGGGGCCAGGGGATGTGGGGAAATTTTTTTGCTTGGGGCAGCAAAAAACTTGGAGCCGGCCCTGGAAAGAAATCTAAATGTTTCAGCAAATGCTGTGTTTTAATGGCTTCTGCTGAAGAAGCATTCGTTGTACACAAAATAAGCAATATGTGTGTATATATGTAAGGTTGCGAGTCTGTCAGTCACAGAAGTCACAGATTTGGTGACTTTCCATGACCTCCATGACATCTGCAGCGGCTGATGCTGGCTCAGGGGCTGCCCGAGCCAGACAGTCTCTGGGCCAGTAGCAGCAGTTTGGGTGTGTGGGAGAGAGTTTGGGGCTGGGGCAGGGGGTTGGCGGGTGTGTGTGGGGGGTACTTACCTAGGGGTGGGGGCTACCCCTGGCATGGCCCTGCAGCTCCTAGGCGGTGAAGGGGCCGGGGGCTCCCTGCCATGCTCTGCCCATGCTCACAGGCCCCACCCCCACAGCTCCCATTGGCTGCGGTTCCCGGCCAATGAGAGCTGCACAGATGGTGTTTGTGATGGGACCGGGAGCAGCATGCGGATGAGCCCCTGGCCCCTCCACCACCTAGGAGCTGCAGGGACATGGAGCTGGGTAGGGAGCCCCTCCGAGCCCTGCCAATTCTCCCCCCCCCAACATCAGTGGGGGTCCCAGGCCACCTCCCCCAGCACCTGCAGTGCCCCCTGCTGCCCCACTCAGAGCACCCGCAGCCCCCCGCTCAAGTTTTAGTTGGGGTATATAGCAAAAGTCATGGACAAGTCACGGGCCATGAATTTTTGTTTACTGCCTGTGACCTGTCCATGATTTTACTAAAAATAACTGTGACTAAAACGTAGCCTTATATATATATATATATATGTGTGTCCAATAAAATGTAGCTGTATATGCTACCTTAGAATTATAGAACCATAAGGTTAGAAGAGATTGCAAGGGTCATCTAGTCTTAACCCCCTGACAAGATGCAGCAGCTTTTGGGTCTAAACCATTCAAGACAGATGTCTATCCAGCCTCTTTTTGAAAACATCTAGTGAAGGAGCTTCCGTGACTTCCCTAGGTAGTTTGTCCATTCCCCTGCCGTTAGAAAGTATTTCCTGAGATTTAATCTAAAACTGCTATGATGTAGTTTGTCAGGGAAGTACCTTTTATGAAGCATGTGGTGTATGACATTTAAAAACAAATAAATCTAAACTGAAATGGGAAAAATGAGGGGAAAAATGAGAGGAGGGAAAAAAGAAAAAGGAAGAAATACGGCTTTTAAAAAAAAAAATCCATTATATTTCCCTCATCCTAGAACTTTGTTTAAAGCATCTGAAACAGCTTTCAATTGATTATCTCTTTAGTTCAGTTTTTAGATTATAGAATAATTTATAAATTGTTATTGGAAAGAAAACAGAGCTTAGATTTGTATCCCATTTTTTCAGACCCACAATATTTGAAATAGTTCTCTGTGTGTGTGCAATAAAATATTTCACTTTCCTTTAATATTATACAGTATAAAGTATATTACTTTGTGAACTAAATTGTTTGTGAACTGAAAAATATAGGTACTACATATACTAGAAATTTTAAAAAATGACTGAAATCTTTCAGTTATTAGTTTTAATACTGACATTAAGATGCATCTAACTGGCTTTTTAAAGTAGTGAGTAAGAATAGGCTAACAAAGACTTATTACCAATGATATTCACACACACAACTTTAGGTACATAAATAGTCCTATTCAACTATTTAAAAACATTCCTCTTTCTTTCATCCTCTTTGTAGGTCCGTTACTTCAGCTGCTGTCTCAACTACTGTCTTCTTCCAATTTGATCCATTCTCCTTGAGACTTAATTCCTTGTGGTTTTGTAAAACACTGGAATGGTTGCTAAATTCCATCTGGAATCTGATCTGCATTTCTTTTTCCTTGAACTTCTCTATTCCTGTGTGACGGGGTGCTCTACTCAGCGCTGGACGGTGCTGCCTCATGGCAGTTATGGGGATTAGTTCTGACAGGCTGATGCACCTTCCTTTAGTTGCACTCCATCTCTCTCTCTCACTCCACAGCCCCTCTCTCGGTCCAAGAGCTTCTGCTTTTTCTTTGTGACTCAGCCTTCCGGCCAGGTCACTCAGTGTGTTTTCCCCCTTCTGGGGTATGAAAGTCTCTTCTCATCAGCAGTCTTAGGCAGTCTTCCTATTCACTGCATCAGTGGTGCCAGTGGCTGGTAGGGGAAGCCAGGCACACCCTCTACTCCGTGATGCAACTCAGGGACCCTCTATTTAGCAGCGAAGGTCCCTGAGCCTTTCCTATCTTTCTATCTTTCTGGCTTCTCCCCCCACCCCCAGGTTTTCCAGCCCAAACTTCCTCCTCCCAGGGACTAATTGTATGATACCTATCTCTATAGCTCCAAACACA